CAATGAAATTCAACGCGTCTATATAGTGATCTATAGTGCGGAAGGGGATACACTTGCTGATCATTCGTGCTATGCCGCTTGAACTGAATGAGCATGGGTAGTAACGAGCATAGCTATCAAACAAGAATCTACCAGTACGTTACAAACGGCCATAAACGATGCAATTCTGACATTAGACACTCCCAGCATACCTGGAACGCACCGGAAATTCCCAGAAACCTCAACCGTTAAACCTTAAACAAAAACCGTAACCCTTAAGCCTAAGGCCGGGGCAGGATTGAACCTTCCAGGGAAACTTGCACCATAACAGAGGCGTCAGCGTGCCCAAATCAAACCCTCGGCTCACAGCAAACATTCCTCAGCAGGTTTGTGGGCGGCATCAGAATTTGGGTTTCCTTCTTGTTCAAACTCTTCTGGAAAGGTCATGCTGGGTTCGGGATCCAACAGAGTCAGGAACGAGCGCGCACATCGATACCAGTAGCCCTGACAACGACGAGCAGCTGCTGTAGGACGTTCTTCGAAAACCAAAGCAGGCTCAGAAGATGCTGCAGCACTCGACCCAGTTGCCAATGACGAGGAAGCCAAATCAGCACAGCACTGCTCACCACGTGACTACACAAATACCCGGTGAAGTGAAACTTCGGAGACTGCCGGGTAGTCGGATGCCCTCCAAGCTCTGGTTGAACAGGGCACCAAACGTCAAACTCTGCAGGCCACTGGGTAGTTGGATGCCCTCCAGGCTCTGGTTGAACTGGACACCAAACGTCAAACTCTGCAGGCTGCTGGGTAGTCGGATGCCCTCCAAGCTCTGGTTGAAGTCGTGGCCAAACGTCAAATTCTGCAGGCTGCCAGGTAGCTGGATGCCTTCCAAGCTCTGGTTGAACTTGTGGCCAAATGCCAAACTCTGCAGGCTACTGGGTAGTAGGATGCCCTCCAGGCTCTGGTTGAACAGGACACCAAATATCAAACTCTGCAGGCTGCTGGGTAGTCGGACGCCCTCCACGCTCCGGTCGATGCCCTCCAAGCTCTTGTTGACCGCGACACCAAACGTCAAACTCTGCAGGCTGCTGGGTAGTCGGATGCCCTCCAAGCTCTGGTTGAAGTCGTGGCCAAACGTCAAATTCTGCAGGCTGCCAGGTAGAGTAGCTGGATGCCCTCCAAGCTCTGGTTGAAACATTGCCCAAATGTCAAACTCTGCAGGCTGCTGGGTAGTTGGATGCCCTCCAAGCTCTCGTCGAACAGGGCACCAAACGTCAAACTCTGCAGGCTACTGGGTAGTTGGATGCCCTCCAAGCTCTGGTTGAAACGGGCACCAAACGTCAAACTCTGCAGGCCACTGGGTAGTTGGATGCCCTCCAGGCTCTGGTTGAACTAGACACCAAACGTCAAACTCTGCAGGCTGCTAGGTAGTTGGATGCCCTCCAAGCTCCGTTTGAAGTCGTGGCCAAACGTCAACGTCTGCAGGCTGCCAGGTAGTTGGATGTCCTCTAGGCTCTGGTTGAACTTGTGGCCAAATGCCAAACTCTGCAGGCTACTGGGTAGTAGGATGCCCTCCAGGCTCTGGTTGAACAGGACACCAAACATCAAACTCTGCAGGCTGCTGGGTAGTCGGACGCCCTCCACGCTCCGGTCGATGCCCTCCAAGCTCTTGTTGACCGCGACACCAAACGTCAAACTCTGCAGGCTGCTGGGTAGTTGAATGCCCTCCAAGCTCTGGTCAAAGCAGCCACCAAACGTCAAACTCTGCAGGCTGCTGGGAAGTTGGATGCCCTCCAAGCTCTGGTTGAAGTCGTGGCCAAACGTCAAATTCTGCAGGCTGCCAGGTAGAGTAGCTGGATGCCCTCCAAGCTCTGGTTGAAACATTGCCCAAATGTCAAACTCTGCAGGCTGCTGGGTAGTTGGATGCCCTCCAAGCTCTCGTCGAACAGGGCACCAAACGTCAAACTCTGCAGGCTACTGGGTAGTTGGATGCCCTCCAAGCTCTGGTTGAAACGGGCACCAAACGTCAAACTCTGCAGGCCACTGGGTAGTTGGATGCCCTCCAGGCTCTGGTTGAACTAGACACCAAACGTCAAACTCTGCAGGCTGCTAGGTAGTTGGATGCCCTCCAAGCTCCGTTTGAAGTCGTGGCCAAACGTCAACGTCTGCAGGCTGCCAGGTAGTTGGATGTCCTCTAGGCTCTGGTTGAACTTGTGGCCAAATGCCAAACTCTGCAGGCTACTGGGTAGTAGGATGCCCTCCAGGCTCTGGTTGAACAGGACACCAAATATCAAACTCTGCAGGCTGCTGGGTAGTCGGACGCCCTCCACGCTCCGGTCGATGCCCTCCAAGCTCTTGTTGACCGCGACACCAAACGTCAAACTCTGCAGGCTGCTGGGTAGTTGAATGCCCTCCAAGCTCTGGTCAAAGCAGCCACCAAACGTCAAACTCTGCAGGCTGCTGGGAAGTTGGATGCCCTCCAAGCTCTGGTTGAAGTCGTGGCCAAACGTCAAATTCTGCAGGCTGCTGGGTAGTTGGATACCCTGGTTGAGCTCATGGCTGGAAGGCCATTTCAGTGACATCGTTTCGTTCAGCGCAGCTACATCAGACAGAGTCTTGTTGTCAAGTAGGCGCTCCCACAGCATCGCGACACGACCCGCACCAAGCCTCCGCACCACGCACGAGATCTCGTCGTTCCGAATTTGATGCAGCAGCAGCTTGCGGTGATCGATGACGCAGCCACCGGATGTCAGCACAAGCAAACCTGCAGGGTGGCCAACTGTGGCTGCGATGCGTTCCGCTACTTCCCACCCAGTTTTGGCAGAGTTGACCTCCAGCTCCAAGCTCGAACCTGCGACGCAGTGAACGTCACAGCGTGTTAGGCACTGCCAACACCGGCCTCTGCAGCCTGCGAAACGCTCAAGATCTGCTGCATGTTGCCTTCGGACGCAGCGCAGTCGGCCATGGCGTTGGCAACGCTTCCCTCAGGCGCTAAGAACAGAAGCCCTGTAGTTGCCAAGCTTAGAGTTTACTTGGAGGGGCAGGGGACTTAGTAAGTCGTTTATAAGTAGTAAGTAAGGCTCTAATTGGGGTGACGGGTACTTATAACTCTACTTACACCCTACTTGCTAAGTCCCCTGCCCCTCCAAGTAGGGTTTGCTACAAGGGTTCAGGGTTCCGGCCCGGTCTAGGGATGAGGGTCTAAAGGGGTTGTTTTTTGAAGTGGTTTTGGAGTTCGAGGTTGGCATGTGGGGGCGGGGACCCAATTTGCATAGTATCTAACTCTTATGCTTGCCATCGACGCACTATCAAGTTTGAGTGCTGAAGGAGCCTGACAAGATTTGACGGAGGGTATGTAGGATTTAGGGCTTCTAGGGTTGAGAAAGAGCACTTTAGGTTTTAGGAATTCAGGATTTTGGAGATTTCCCAAAGGGTCCATGTACCCGAATAGTATATACTTTGGCCTTAAAGTAATCCCCGTATAGCTACTTTGGTGCCAAAGTGTATATTATGAGGGTACATGGACCCTTACGAAGGGTTTGGCAAGCTTTCAGCGTAGAGCTGAAGTCTCCCAAACCCAAAACCCTGAACCCCTAGTAGGACCCGCAGAAAAGCACATAAGCAACAAAAACAAGGTTAGGGATATCCCATAGAAACCTCCTTATACTGAAGCCCAATAAGATAGGTATATCCCTATAAAATGCTTATGCATATGTGCCTTTTGGGTCCTAACCTAAAGCCTCAGCCCTAAAGCGAACCCGCCGCTAGGCCTCGCGAACGTCTGCCAGGGAAGGCAGTCGGAGGACATCCCTGGCGCTACTTGGAGGATCATGGGACTTAGTAAGTAAAGGGCGCCTTCAAGGGATCTCATTATAGGGTTCCTTAAAGGGATCTGTAGAGGTTTAGGGTTTAGGGTCTACTTGGAGGATCATGCGACTTAGTAAGTAAGGTTATAAGTACCTCAACTCCAACTATAAGTAGTTATAAGTATAGTTACCCTAATTATAACCCTAGTTACTAAGTCCCATGATCCTTTAAGTAGGGAACGGACTTAGGGTTGGGCATTATCAACTGGAATGGGTTTTGGCCTATAGCGGACTATAGCTATATGGGCCATAAGGAAATATCCGTGCTAACCATTATAATGTTCTGACCCCTACACTAGTTTTAGTGTCGGGGGTCTGCGGATTTAGGAACGAAGAAGAAGGTCGGTACCAGAGAGCATGTGGCTAAGGTGGGAATGGGAGCACGGGGGAATCGATAGGACTACCGCTCACAAGTCGCAGCACGTACGGGGGCCTTACGAAGCTCAAGTTATCAACCGCGCTGCTGGCAAAGCTGCCAAATGTCAGCGGCTACTTCGTGGAATTTCAAGAGAAGACAGAGTCATGGTCATTGATTAGCATCTAGAGTTTAGGGTAAGCCTTGATAGCACCCGGAACCTCAAAACATAATACTTAAACCCTAAACCCCAGCCCCCAGTAGCCCTAAAGAGCCCCCATCATCTAGCTGGTGCGTTGCTGTTCCTGAAAACCTGACCAAGCTTTGTAAGTTACCGTGCCCGCACCACAACCCAATAGCCCAATATGAATATTTAAAGAGATACAAGTACCAACGAATAACCAGGTTCTAGATAATACATGTACACGTGTATTATTGATAATCATATCTATATTGGTGTCTGGGCTCCCATTCCCAAAGCCCTGAACCCCATTATCTGAAGCCAAAAGCCTCTCTAACCCTCAGGTATCCCATTGTAAGCCCGTCATCGAACAATAAGATTCTCAGAAAACCTTGTTGGGAAGCAGGCTCGTAAAGCCCGAAGCCCTAACATCCTGGAGCCCGATCGTACATCTTAAAGCACTGAAGCCTAGAACCCGCGGACACTAAACCTTAAGACAACACACGCTAGACCCTAAATCCTACATAAACCTGTAGCACCCCACGTCCAAGGCTTCCTTGACAGGGCATGCGCCAGCGCCGTCGAGACCGCCGAGGCCGCTTCATCAAAGAAGGCACTGTCACACCTTCAGTTTAGGTTTCAGGCTTCAGGCTTTAAGCTTCTGAATTTGGGTATTTGAACCATCTAGGGATTTTTAGGTTTCAGGGTTCAGAGGGTCCGGGGTTCAGGGTTTAGGGTGGATACAGTTTCGGGTTTCTATGAAACGCAGTCGGTTGGCTCCCTGATGGCCTGCTGACGGATTTTTGGCGGTTAAAGACCTACATACAGGGTTGTTGGTAAACCTTAAACCCTAAACCCCTCAATCCTAAACACAGGGTTGTTGGTCCTGGTGGGGCAGGGTCTCGGAAGGACGATCTGCAGCAGCTCAAGTGCTTCTTCAGGCTGCTGATGCTGCTGCTAGGTGGGAGATCCCTAAACCCTAAACCAAACCCTAAACCCTAAACCCTAAACCCTAAACCCGCATGGCTAGTGCTATTGCTGTCAAAGGCGGGTCTGAAACCAGGGATAAACGAAACCCGAAACGACGAATAGTACTCAGGGTGGTATAAGATTCTATAAGGGCTACTATAAGGGTTACTGCAAGGGTTACTATACATATGTTACTATGAACCATAACGAGAACCCTAATCTCAAGCCTCCTTCTCCCAAACCTCGGCAGCTCTCACCCCCGGCCTCATGCCTTACTCGTCAAGTTGATCGGCGATCTAGAGGTTCATCATTCGGATTGCCTAAGAGGGGCCTTAATAATTAGAATAGAGTTTTGGGGGCCCTTCATAATATAGATAGTTATAAGGGACCCCCCAACAAAATCGTATAAGTAATTATTAAGGCCCCTATATTATAGAATCACACTACCCCCCGCACCCCCTTTCCCAAAACGTGCTACCGTTGATGGAACTGGCAGGAGCTAATCATAACTCCCAACATGCACAATGAACAAGCTGAGGAGGAAGCCGGTTCAGGTCCTTTGTTGCCGCCGTGTCGGGCAGCGCCAGCCGAAACATCAACGCCACTGTGGGATCCTAGCAGATACCCGGGCTCGCAGTCTACGCTTCAGGGCTTCAGCATCAAGGTCCTTCAAGGTTTACTTGGAGGTTCATTTGTAGTTGTAAGTGGAGTTTTAAGTCCCCTAATATGGGACATAATTATATAGTTACCCTACCTATAACCCCACTATATAACTACCCATGAACCTCCAAGTACAGGTACTTGCAGCCGTAAACTCCAGGAGTCGCCAAAGCTGCGTGGCTTTCGCTCCGAAGTTGTAAACTCCCTGCACCCCAGAAAGCTCGACGGAAAGGGGACTTCTAATAAGGATCCTACTATTTTGGAATATTATATTAGGGTCCCCTATGTTCGGAAACCCCCATTTAGTGCCAAAGACATCGCGGTCTTGAAGCCCATAAGACTGGTGCTGTCTTGCACATACACATGGGGGCCTATAGGGATAAGGTGTCAGGGCTTCGGGTTCGAAGCGAACTGCATTTAAGAAACTCGCTGCTGGAAAGACCCCAGAAGCGACCGCCAGTGTAATTCCCAAAGGGTCCAAGTATCTCTATGGTATATACTTAGACTCCCTAAATACCCTGTAAGCTATATACCATAATGATACTTGGACCCTTTGGGATTAAATTAAGAACCTTCCGATGCACAAAGCGAAGGCTTAGAGGTGCTGGTATGCAAGGAAAGCCCGGAGCATTGGTGATGTTCTGGGTGTCGTTGCTCTATTTTCCGTGACAAACTCAACACCCGTAATCAGGGATCGCCATGATTCATGCAGACCCTGACAATCTGACCAGGCACCCGACTCCTTTCTATCCCAGAGGGTCCACATATATATATATATATATATATACATATTTATTCCAGGTATACTGTATACCAGTATGAAATTAAGTCCTCAAAGCCATCCCCTTTATGGTTTTCGGGACCTACTTCCATAATAGTAGTATATATGGAGCCTCTGGGTAACAGGGCCTCAGAGGGCCGCAAAGATCCAGCAAAGGTTCACCAGAAGGTGGTTTCCACTAACATCATGTAGCACGAGTTCCCTTTGCAATGGACATGAACCCAAAGCGAACATGAGCCAATGCCAAGGATTGATGAGGCTTACAGGTGGAAGGCTCGCTGAGTTCACAGGCCGAGCGGTTAGGCGAACCCTGAACACAACGGGCTAAAAACCGAACAGAAACAATGTCCTCCATGGGCTCATAGGCCACGCCTTAGCTGACGACTTTCCAAACCTGACCACAGAAGAACTCTGACCCCAGTCGAAGTTTAAGGCCATCAACAATGCGACGTATACAGTAAACCCCATAAAGTTGGAAACCGAATCAAGGCCGATAATAGAGCTGAGATTCCCAATCCATTACTCTTCAGGATGGAGGGTATTGGGTTTCCAACTTTCGGGCTTCTACTTTAGGTTTGGCACCCTTGCGACCACCGCCAAAGTCTGATGATCTAGTCATACCGCCCAGGCACCGTGTTCGAACACGGCGGGCCTCAAATGCCACGTGGCTTAGCATCTGGCAATACGGCTTTTGATTGGTTACAGTAAGGCTCCATGTTCCCATATAGTATATACTTAAGCCTTAAAGCCCTAAAGTACCTGTATAGCGGCCCCGGTTAAGGCCTAAGTATCTACGATAAGGGCACTTGGAGCCTTTGGGTTAATTATTGTTCTTTCTAGAATTAGGAGCTTATGGGTCTGGAGTCTATACGCTTTTTTGAGCCTTTGATTGTCATTCATTACGCTACGCCATGCTGAACGCATGCCCCAATATGGAAAAGGCCCGGCGCTTGAAAAGCAAATCTGAGAGCTGGGAGACGCGGTAACTTTGTAGTAGCATCTTCAGGTTTCGAGCAGTTGCCGAGTACTTAAAGGATCATCGGACTTAGTACAAGTAACTAGGGTTATGATTAGGGTAACTATACTTATAACTACTTATAATAACCCCAGGTACTGATAACCCTACTTACTAAGTGCTATGATCCTGCAAGTAGGGTTTTCTGTGATAGGATTGTACGATGAGCCGGCGTCAACTAAAAGACTTACTGGCAGAGCTTTGTATACTTCAGAGAAGCCCTGCTCACGAAACCAAACGATGGCAAGTACCCGCAGAATACAAACCACGGAATCAGGTTTGCGATCATAAACCCTAAACCCAAAATTCCAAACCCTGAGCCGTAACTCCCAGACACTACACAAAGCATGCTCCCAGAAGTACCCAGCATCCTTCGTGTGCTATTTTTTCCCCGAGATGCTACACCCGAAACCCGAAACCGCCCTGAACCCGAAACGCTTGAATCTGCGACCTTGCTGACTTCTCTACACGTTCTCAGCCCCGAAGCCCTCCATTTCAACAGAGCCAAAAGCAATCCCGCCAACAAGTCCCTGCCAAGTCTCTGACCGAGGAAGATGACCACGACCCTAAACCCCGAACCCTTGACTGCCACAGCCCGAAGCCCTTAAGCCCTAAACCCTAAAACCCATACCATGAACCCCAAACCCTGTTCCCTAAGCCGCCACCGAGGTGCGTGGCCACGTAGACATCACCGGGATTCAGTGCGAGAGTGGTGAGATCTGCAGCTGGTAGCCTTGCTCAACTAACCACTTCCTGCTCTTGCTTCAACTGTTACCATATCCCTTGACTGAAGCCCGAAACCCTAAACCCCAAAACCCAACGCAAACCCGGGCTACTGTGGGAGCAGTTTAGGGGCTGAGTACCCTAGCCCAACACAGGATATATAACCTTTTCAACGATGGAAGGGCTGTATGAACCTAAAAAGGTTAAAGCTTACCTGCTCAACTCAGCTACTAAGACATGGTTGTTGCCATATCCCTTGACTGTAGCCCGAAACCCTGAACCCAAACCCAACGCAAACCCGGGCTACTGCGGGAACATGGGACTCCCTTGTAGAACTCCTATACTATAGATCCCTTAGAGGTAATTACCCCTTGAAAGTACCCTAAACCCTACAAAAGTTGTCTACTCAGCTACTAAGAACCCTAAACCCTAAACCCTAAATCCTAAACCCGAACATGGTGGCCAGGTGGCTTCTGCCAGGCCTCTTCGTCCCAAACGCTTGGATCGGGGCCTAAGGCCGGGAATGGCTTAGGGTTTGGGGGTTTAGGGCTTAGGGTTTAGGGCTTAGGGTTTAGGGGTTTAGGGTTTAGGGTTTGGGGTTTAGGGGTTTAGGGTTAAGGGGTTTAGGGTTTAGGGTTTAGGGTTTGGGATTTGGGGTTTAGGGATTTAGGGTTTGGGGTTCAGGGTTTAGGGTTTAGGGGTTTAGGGTTTAGGGGTTTAGGGTTTAGGGTTGAGGGTTTGGGATTTCCCCTCAGGCTCCATGTACCCATACAGTCATATAGTATCTGTTTAGGCCTTAAAGGGGTTCCGATATAGGCATTTAAGGTGTAATTAGGTATTTTACTATATCGATACATGGAGCCGGAGGTTTAGGGTGTATCGTTTAGGGTTGGGGGGCTTCGACTCTGTAGGGATTCGGGCTATGAGACGACAGGCAGTGCTGTAGCGCAGGGTTTAGGGTTTAGGGGTTTAGGGTTTAAGGTTTTGAAAGGATCAGGTTCTACCTACACACCCCCAGCTGCCCTTTGCTATGGCGCAAACACATATTCATCGGAACCACAGGGGCTCCATTGCAGAGTACGTTGCCTTTTTTGCTTTTTCTGAGAGGGCGGCGGGGTGGGCGGAGATGTCCTGGTCTATTGTTTCACCGAATCCAGAAAACACCTACCACTCTGGTGATCCTTGTTTTTAGGTTCCTTATGTGGGTCCTCAAATACAGTAATCAACTAACTTGCTTCATTCTGCATCGAAGGTGGGGTTTGCAAACGGGTTTAGGCTGGTTCACGATGTAACCTTAGAAGAAACCCTAAACCCTAAACCCAAAGCCCTAAGCACCCTAACGCCTTAGGACCGAACCACCTCAAATGGCTAGGACCAAGCTCTCGCGATGCAGCACTTTTCACACTCTCTGCGTATGCAGCGGCAGGGAAACTTCGACTTTATGGAGCTTTTCTCGACTTTCCTGCAACCTCTAGGCTCATCAAAACACGTTGAGGGCTGAATTACGGAAGCAACGAGAAGCAACCTACTACGTTACTACATAGTCTCATGGAAGCTCTTGCAAGAAACAACTCTGAAATCCTTGTATGTGTGAACCGCTTATTTATCTAAAAACTAGAAAAGGCCGTACAAAGGCCTTATGAAAACCCACAGTCGTCTAAAGCTTTGATCAAAACCCGCGAACCGCTGTACAACCACCTAGAAGCTAAAGCCCCGCTGGCATCAAACACACAATATGCTAAAGAACCTGGAAAACACTTCCAAATGCCCTGACACGAACAAAACCTAATTACAGCAAAACCCACAAGACTTTCTGACATACGCCCTGTAAACCCGAAACCTTAAACCCTTAACCCGAAACCCCTACACCCGCATTAAAGCACCAATAACCGGGAAGCCCCTGAAGCCCTAACGGGCAAAGCCAAAAAAAAAAAACGAGAGACTCCGCCTCATAGTCCCTAAACCCTAAAAGCCTCAACCCTAAGCCTAAACCCTCAACCCTCAATGCCCAACCCTACGCCCTAAGTTCAAGTCCTGTACCCCAGCCCTAAGCCCTAAACCCAAAAGCCTGAGCCCTCAAGGGCCTGCAGGCGGCTCCGGGGAATGGTGCAGCCCGAAAGAAAGGTAGCGACGACCCCGTAGCGAGAGACCTCGGAAGAACGGGGAGAAGGCGTGTCAATGTGGAGTTTATGGATTAGGGGTTCAAGGTTTCAAGGTGGGGGTTGTGCAGGAATTTAGCCTAGTCAGGGCTTATAAGGCTTAGGGGTTACGAGTTTACCCTAAGGGTCCAAGTACCTAGTTATCATATACTCTCAAAAATAGTGACCTACATAACTACTATCCTAAAACCCAGTACCTAATTATTGGGTATTGTGGACCCTAAGGGTTAGGGTCTGGGATTTAATGTTTGAAAAGGGTTGGGCCGCCGAAAGCCCATGAGATTCGGGCTGTGGAAGGCTTCGGGTTTTGGCCTTTTGAGTAGTACGGTGGCCTTAACAATTGCAACAGGGTTCCTTTAAAGGGATCTACAGGGGCTCCTATAAGGGCTACTATAATATGGTGGCCGTAATAAATAGAATAATTAGGATTTTGAAATATACTATGTTTAATAGAAGCCCCTATATTGCGGTGTCTCTTCTTTTTAAAGGGGTGAGGGGGGTGGGGGGGTTGGACTTCGGAGGAATACTACTGCTACAAAAAACTTCTTGGATCCGAAGAAGCCTAGCCCTAAGGGTCCATGTGCCCAAATAGTATGTACTTTGGCCTTAAAGTAGTCCCTGTAAAGGTACATTCTACCACTACCACTACCACTACCAGTACTACTACTACTACTACTACTACTACTACTACTACTACTACTACTACTACTACTACTACTACTACTACTACTACTACTACTACTACTACTACTACTACTACTACTACTACTACTACTACTACTACTACTACTACTACTACTACTACTACTACTACTACTACTACTACTACTACTACTACTACTACTACTACTACTACTACTACTACTACTACTACTACTACTACTACTACTACTACTACTACTACTACTACCACTACGACCCAAAGAAGCTTAGGGATCTGGCCTATCTGAAGGAGGCCGGATGCACCATCCCGGTGGGATCGCATGAACTGCCACTCCTGCGGTTTAGGGTTCAGGGCTTCAGAGTTATAGGCTATAGACTTAAGATGGGTTGAGTTTTGGGGTAGGGTCATAGGGTTAAGACGGGTTTAGGGCTTTGGGGTTGTAGTGATTTATGAGATCTATTTCGGATTTGAGGGTTTCACAGTTTCAGGTAAGGCTTGCGCCCTCGTGTAAGGTTTCGAGCTTCGGATTTTCTAACGGATTGACCCAACCTGCATAAGATCAATCGTTGGATCAGCGAGTGTAGACTTCATGCCTCACCAAGCAAATCGTCGCGACTACCTCAGCCCTCAACCCTAAAGACATCCTCTGGGAGTATGTGTTTCCAACGAAAAGCAGCCTGCGAGCTGGCGGAGTTGCCTCCCTGTAACCCGAAGCCCCAAACCCTGGTTAAACGGTTTAGGATTTAGGGTTTACGGCTCCTAAATACCACGCCACAATGTACAAACCTGAACACATGGCAAACAAGATCCGCAACTCATTTCTGAATGCCCTCAGTACTTAAAGGATCGGGACTTAGTAGGTGTTGCTAGAACCCTATGTATGGTACTTAAGCCCACTGACCCTCCCAGCAATGTCGGGGCATCAATACTAGTAACAAGCTTTTGGGGTATACGGTATACTTTACTATACTATAGTAGGGAACTTTTAAAGAATGGTTTTGGTTGCTTCCTAGCTTGCTTATGGACTCCGGAGCCAGTGTGGGCGCATCACAAAAAAATGACTCAAACATGCAGGGTGAAACTAGAATGCCTGCCCTGGCCGGCGTTCCCAGAACCCGAGGGAATATCGCTACACCTTAACATTCAAGCCAACCTACTTGTTCAGTATCCTGGTTACCTATGGGATTATATAGGGAATATGGGAATAAAGTATGTGTACTACCATTACTAGCGGAATTTTCGGTCCCCACAGATAATAGGGTTCGGGGACCTAAATTCCATGATAGTAATACATACATATTTACACTCATACGTACACACCTACATACGTGTGTATATATATATATATATACATGCATACATAAATATGCATATATATATATATATATATGTATACACTTTTTTTGTGCGAATAATTGTATATGGATCCTCACCTACTCCTGCCCCTAAACCCTAAACCCTACAAGCTTCTTCTCTATTACCTTTAGCCCACGCCTCCGCGGCGTGCTGCCACTGTGCTTCAATGCAGTCCAGGGCTCCCCGGTGAAGAAGAGAGCCCTGGTTTAGAGTTTAGCTTTCCCACGGGGTCTAAGAACTCATATATTAAGGCTTATTGGGCCCAAAGACCATACTACATAAGGCTTTTGGGCCATTTTGACCCCTAGGGTTTGAGATTCAGGCTTTCGGGTTTGAAGGTCCAGGGTTATGCTTAGAAGGTATCAGGGTTGAGGGGTCTACTGCTTCAGGCGCCTGTGGGGGCTTAGGGTCGAGGCATCTGAAAGCTGCGGGGCCTAAGCCCGAAGGGATTTTCGTCTGGCGCTGCGCGTTCAGGGCCGAAGAGTTTCGTTTTTTGGGGGCCTGAAGAAAAAGATAATAAGTTGGGTACGGCTCCCATACAGTCTACGATAACATATATATATATATAACAATAATAATAACAATAATGATAATAATAGTAATAATAATAATAGTAGTAATAATAATAATATGTGAGGCAACCTCTCGAAACGAAACATCAGGGCCCGTGCCCAAGTTTGCCACAGCTGTCCCTAAAGTGCACAACTACCACAGCATTGCCACTTCCGTTACCAAATGTACCTACCAGGACCCCCCAATGCCCTTTAATGGAGCCTTTATGGTCCGTAATAGTGGGTATTTAGGGTATATTAAAAGGCTAGTTGGGGGGTCCAGGTATAGATGATTGCTTGCACCCTCGCTGAACCCTCGACAACCCAAGACAAGAGATGAAGATCAACATGCAAGACATCTGACTGAAGTAAACGTGCTTGCTGACCGTAAAACCCGAACAGTGTTCCCAAGTTCAACTTATAAATTATACACCCAACACAAGCCCAATCTAAACTGAGGACCAAACTCGACAAATCCTTAACCCTCAACCCCCAAGCACTCCAAAGCCACGATCCCCCCAAACCCCGACACTTCCGAAACCCCCCATCCGACAGCCTCGTTGCCAACCAACGAGCTGCCAGGGTTCGGAAAACACCTCGAACGCCGCAGCGCCTGAGAAGTTTAGGTTTACCTGGACCCCAAAAGTATGTAGAATCATAGCCTTTTATAGGTCTTGGGCCATTATTTTACCTACTTTTGGAGGACAAGTAGGGATTGTAACCCTCAACCCTAAACGCGCGGGTTTAGGTTGGGTACGGCCCCCACTACAGCAACAGGCGATAATTAATATTGGAGTTTCCGAAAATAGGGGACCTTGATATAGTACACTAAATAGTAGGAGCCTTATTATAAGGACCCCAAGATAAGGTACGCCGAGTTTTCGGAAACGCCCATATGGGTATTACGAAGGGCCTCAATCCTCTTCAGGCCTCCGCGAAGGCGCAGAAGCGCGGTGGCGCCCGCCGGAGGCCGCCTGCATCCCACAGAGCACTTAGTGACGTAGTAACTAGCCCTAAGGGTCCATGTACCGAAATAGTATATACTTTGGGCCCAATGTACAGATATAGGGAGTACTGCAAGGCCAATGTATATACTATATAGGTACATGGACCCTTAGGGTAGGTTTATGGATAAGATAACTACACTTACCGATGCTTATAACCCCGATAACATTTCCCATGATCCTGCAAGTACTGCTGATGGACAAAATCCTGCATGATTCCAAGGACTCTAAACTATGGGAACTATGGTATGTTCCTTATAAAGGGTAATGCAGGATTTTGTCCATCAACAATACGACCAGCCGGCCGGGATCTTCTGTTGCTTTCACTTCCCTAACCCTAAGGGTCCAAGTGCCCAAATACTAGTGTTTCAAGGCCCAAAAACCATTCAGAGTATGGATTTTGGGACCTAAACTAAACCCCTACTATTTGGGTACTTGGACCCTTTGGGTAAGCCCTAAACCCCCTGGCGCCGCAAGAAACTTCAACCCCCTAGGGCAAGTGTACCGATACACTGTATACATTGGTCCTGCAGCTGCTCTATCAGAATCCGTTCTAGGAACAAAAACGAAGTATGGATCACTATCTACTTAGACAAAAACTGTACACAATGCATGCCCATAAAAACATGTCAGTTATATATGCATAGGTGTGTATATAGGTGCACACATGTATATAGATACATATGTGCATACATACATACAGACAGACAGACATACATACACACATACATTCATACATAAATACATACATACATATTGGTACATGGACACTTCGGACCCTGGCACTTTTGGATTCAGACTATAGCAACTTTCAATCAACCCCTAAACCCTAAGTCCTAATGCAAGTAAAAGGAAGCGCATGCAATATAGGGGCCTCAATAATTAGAACAGGGTTTCGGGGCCATTAGGAACACCCAAAATCGTATAGGTACGTACTTATTTACCCTCCTATAACCCTATACATCCCTTTTGGAACCCTTATAGTATCCCTTTAAGGATCCCTTTACAGGAACCCTTTTCTAAGTAGTGCAAGAGGTTCTGCCTCCTCGACCCAGTCTCGGAATGAACCCCCACTGCCTGTCCTTAGCGCAGGCTCCAGGCGTTCCAGACGGAGTTTGGGCAGTTGCATAGGTACAGAAACGGATATTGGGAGGGGGGGGGGGGGAGAGAGGGAAGACACACACTTAAACAGTGGGATAACGACATAAACGGATATACTGTGTATACAAGTAACGTACACATCGCGTGTAACCGTATGTTGCGCTATCGCGATGATGACTGTACATGTATTTGATAGCATTGCAGTAAGTCGCCTCTGTAGGGTTCATACAAACCACCACTATGGAATCAGGCCCCCCAACCATGCCCTGGGAAAGCACAAGACCCCTCAAGGATGCGAAGGTGCAGGCACGAAGCTAAGCCCTTTTAAACCCCTAAACCCTACATCCTAAACCCTATAGATATCCTTTTTCAGGAACCCTAAAGATCCCTTTTCCTAAGCCTAAACTCTACAAGACCCCTTTTGATGTGCGAAGGTGCTGGGCCGAAGCTTAGTAAAGTACCCTAATTGGGGTTGTAAGTCATTGTACGTATAGTTACCGTGTTTAAAACCCTAGTTACCGAGTCCCATGAACCTTAAAGCCCTAAACCCTAAAGTAGATCCCTTATAGAACACGATATCATATCCCTTTAAAGGAACCCTAAACCCTACAAAAGGCCCCTTAGATGTGCGAAGGTGTGCGCTCGAAGCAACCCTAAACCCTTTAGATCCCTTGCAGAACCCCTATGGGTCCCTTTGAAGGAACCCTAAACCCCAAACCCTACAAAAAGCAGCCCCTTAGATGTGCGAAGGCGCGGGTCCGAGGCTTTGTGTGTGCCAGTCTGCCTTGAGAAGGAAGGGCTCCTCTTCAAAGAGCTCCGGGCTTAGGGGGCTTGAGGGGGAGGGGGGGGGCTTTTAGGGCTCCTTTATTTAACGGGATCTATAAGGGTTCTAGAATAAAGATCTATAGGGTTTAGGGGGTTTAGGGTTTAGGGGTTTAGGGTTTAGGGGCTTTGGGTTTGGGGGTTAAGGGGAAGGCTACTGGAAACAGCGATCTGAGGCCCCATAAGGAATAGCCTTAAGGGTCCATGTACTCGTATATAGGGTTCCTTCTTCGGGTTCTATAAGGGTTCTACTATAAGGGTACCATAAGGGTTCTAATAGGGATCATGGTTTAAGGGTCCATGTACTCATATAGTATATACATTGGCCTTAACGTAGTCCCGATATAGGTACTTTGGGCATATATGCATATATATATATATATACATGGGACCCTTAGGGAAACAGAACATTTAGATCCTTGAGACAGAACGCCCCCCCCACCCCCCCCCACATTAAGAGTGTTTTCTTCATGTAAAGGCTCCTAAGGCTGAGGCCGGCTTCCAGAAAGGGAGCTTGTCGTGTTAATCAGGGGGCTACATTGGGCATGATAGCAAAGAGGTCTGTACTGTCTGTACTGCTCCACGGGTCAGGCTGCTGGATCAGACAGGGAACACTGGTGGCTGCAACAATATATGGGTAGTTGTCAAAATTATGGTACCTTTTTGGGCACCCAAAATACTAGGTGCCGTACTATAATAGGGACCCTAAAAAGGACCCTAATTTTGACAACTACCCATATGGGTTCCCTGAGGTTTGGGGTGGGCCGAAGCAGAGAGAGTCCTTCGGCGACGCCTCGAATCCCCATGACAGAGCGTCCTGCAGGAAAACCACTTCACACTCAGTTAAAGTCCCCTCTTGGTGCGAGAGCAGGGTTTGCCGTGGGATCTTCTTGGATTGTCAGAGGCAAATACTTTGCGACGGTGAGCCGTTGGCGCTATATGGTTCGTACCTCAACATTCCAATGCAGTCCATACTTTCTGTGCTTCTGCCGGTGTCTGCTGGTCAAAGTCATAGACATTCATAGACCTTCAAGTTGAGAACCTCAGCTCCTGAAAACCTCTTCAAGTCCTCAGCAGTAGCTACATTGCAGAGTCAAGCAAGATACAGCTTACATGCTGCTCTCTGGGCCTTTCATCTGAGAGCGGAATGATGCAGGCAAAGCTTCTGAGGCCCAAACCCAAAGCTCCTAAGAGTCCAAACTAGAGCTCTCACCGCCGTAAGCCAAGAAGACCGAGTAGATTTCAGGACGCATCGTAAAGTTGACAACCCTTGGCCCCCTGACAACGAAACTTCGCCTGTACAAATAGAGCTGTAGATTCTGTAATTCTGTAGATCTTTCCATACCAAAAATTTCACGACTTAATCTGGCAACTGTGTCGCCTCTGCGGCCTGCCGGCACCTATCGCGCGATAAGAAATGGGAGTTTCCGAAAATAGGGGACCCTAATGTAGTACCCAAAACAGTAGGATCCTTAGTTTAAGGACCCCGAATAAGGTACCCCTAGTTTTCGGAAACTCCCAAATATGACAGAAGCCAAGCCTCGCATGGAGACATGCACCCGAAGCCCGTCACCCCAGAACAAGCCCCAGACCCTCTTAACGGATCCATACAAAGACCACCCAAACTAGGAAAAAAACAATGGCCCAAGACCAATAAAGGCTATAATTCTACATACTTCTGGGGTCCAGGTAAGAGCAGTGCCTGAAAAAGGTTCTATTTAAACTCAAGGAATGAATGGCGGGATGTGTCTGTTGGATCCTTGAAAGAGAACCCTACAGCGCAGGCGACACCTGAGACGCAAATGGTCCAGCCGGGTCATTCCAAAGGTACTCCAACAGCTCCTTCACGAAGGGATGGCCAGGTTTTTGTTGAAACCTTGTAGTTCCTACTTAAAGGATCATGGGACTTAGTAACTAGGGTTATAATTAGGGTAACTATACTTATAGCAACGTATATAACCCAAATAAAGTACTTATAACCTTACTTACTAAGTCCCATGATCCTCCAAGTAGAAGGATGGTTGCTGTGGGTGCGTAACCCCAAAGTCCCTGAAACCCTAAATTCTTCAGGAAGTCTCCTGCTCAATTCGTCCAAGGGCAAAGAAAGCCCGCGACCGTAGCTTTGCACCTCTGGGCGAGCTTCCTGTTAGGCTGGCCTTCTAAAGCCTCTGAAGACCTACCTATAGCCAATGTATGATATGATGTAATGGGTGTTTTTTAAACGCAGGGCACGGTTCCTTCCTTTAGGTTCTTCACAGTGAAGAGCTGTCCGTTCAGGGTAGTCTGCGTAAACCCGATGTCGTGACTTTCCGGGCTGAATCTTATAAGGGGTTGCTGTGTTGAGTGTTTAGGGCTTAGGGCTTGGGGAGCAGGGCTTCAGCGAGGGTGTAGCTGTGTGGGACCTAAATATGTTGCTTACTCTGCCTTTGTTGAGCTTTCAAGCGCAGGCAACAACCTTCATCTAAAACCGAAATCCCAAAAGCCGAAACCAGAACAGTCAAATTTGCAACCTTCAACCCTGTCGGGAGTCGGGAGTATCGTGAGTAGTTCCCTGTTATCTTCTTTCTCGGTCTAGACCACAACTATACTGTTCAGCTACTTCTAGAGGTTTGGAAAAGATATCTCAAGATTCCAAAATCATGGAAACCAAGTCTTATGTTTGTCACTCATTCTCGAACGTTCTCGAAGATTCACAGAGATTCTCTGTCATGTTTCAATCATTCTTGAAAACTTGGAACATGTGACTAAGATCCTATGCTTCTTAAGGTTCGAGTTTTCGGAGCGTGATGAACCGAGATGGAGAGATCGATGCTTCGGCGGGCATTGGCAGCCCTGATTTAGGGCCATTTAGGGTTTGCTTGTCATGTCGACTGCATCTTCTTTCTCAAAGCCGGTGAAAGGTTTATAAACCTGTCGCCTTACGAAACCGATAATCTGGGAATAGTTGAGACAACTCGGCGCTTTGCGTCGAGGTTTTTTCGGACCCCGCATGCGCTGCTTTTGCTTTGACTCCTGTCAGGGCTACAGCGTAAACCCCCAAACCACGCCATAAACACTCCTATTTTTCAGGACACATTAAGTCAGCAAGACCCAGTGAGTCCGGCTTTGGGTGTAGCCTTTGGATCCCAAGCCCTCCTGGCACCTGGCCGCCCCACGCCCCAGTGTGCTGGCGCAGGGGCCAAGCTCCCTCCCCGAAGGGGTTGGCCTCGGATTCTCGGGAAAACGGGTGCGGCCGCGGTGTAGGGTCCAGGGACAGAAGGCAGGTTGCTTCTGGGGGGTTTATAGATGCCTTACATGGTAGTGAAGATGATATGGAGATGAAGACTGGTTGCAAGGGTTTTCGGGAGTTGAGAGCCAGGGCTTGGGGGCAGATGCCCTCACACCTGAGCCAGGGAAACATGAGGCTTTAAAGCTGCTGCTACACATCCACCCCGCAGGTCTAGATTGACGAATCTTAGACATGCGTGCGCAAACAGAACGGTGGCAAAACAGTTCATACACAGAACATGCTGTTTTACACACACACACACGTGTGTGTGTGTGTGTATATATATATATATACATACATGCATGCATGCATACATACATACATACACACATAAGCACAGAGATCAAGAGAGAGGGCACAAAAGACATGCATGCTCACATATAGCATACACTGGCAGGTGCACAAGTACAGATGTGATGACGACACACAGTGCTTGATATGTACCAAACATACGACGTACAAATGCTCGAAACCAGCAGACTTTACACAGAGTGGTGCTAGTCAGAAGAGAACAGGAACAAACCTGCGATATCATAGCCCTAACAAGTTGAACCAACAAGCATTATAAACTACAAAACAAGCCAAACGTTCGAAACGACCCCCACGATGACAACTGCCGGTCGCGCTTGAAACTGCAACCCCTAACGCCAAATATGGGCCTTAATAATTACCCCTAAAACGCTGTTCGAATTAGCAAGGCCCCTACATTAACGCCTGAAATGCCCGCAGGGCCGCATCTGCTCCGCTGCTGCGGCGCCGCCGCGCGCCGCGGCGCCATAACGGCTGTGAAAGCCATGCCATGGCGGAGAGCACGGAGTCCAGGTTTATCGGGTTTATTAAGGTTTAGGGCTTATAGAGTCTAATTATAGGTGTTTGGGGTTTAGGGTTTAGGGCTTATAGGGTCTAATTATCGGGGTTTGGGGTTTAGGGTTCAGGGCGTAGAGGCTCTAGGGTTCAAGGTTTGAAGGGTTTAGGAATGGCGGCGTCAAGGCCGAGTTTCCAAAACCCCATGATTGGTTCCCAGGATCAGGGTTTCGGGTTTCGGGTTTAGGTGTTTATAGGGGTTTAGGGTTTGGGGTTGAGGAGTTTAGGGGTTTGGGGTTTAGGGGTTTAGGGGTTTAGGGGTTTTGGGTTTGGGGTTTCACGGTTCGTGGGTCGGATCTCTCAATGCAAGCTACAGCCGAAATCTCCTTGCTGAGGACCTGGGGATTACTTGCATGCTTTCCTACTTGTCGGGTATAATGGGGAACTAAAGGTTAACCGTTTTGGTTATATAGGGGCTATATACAGACTATACTACCCAACAAAGGTTAAAGGCTACCTACTCTGCTACTAGGCTTTGATTATGAAGAACCAATACATCGGACCGATATCTGGGATCTGGACTGGGGAATGCCGCAGACCGCACTGATCTTGAGGTTTCTGGACGAGGCTTCTGAGCGGGTTTAAGGATTTGGGGTTCAGGGGTTTAGGGTTCAGGGTTTAGGTTTTTTAGTTTAGGGTTTAGGCTTTGAGTGGGTTCTTCTCCTAAGTCAATCAACCAAAATCAATGGAATGGACCAATGCCGCAGGTCGACACGCACGCTGCGAAAGCTAACAGAGAACATGCTGCTGAGTTTGAACCCTGAGCACTAAATCCAAAACCCCAAGCCGGAATGACCCTAAACCCTAAACCCCTAAACCCTAAACCCTAAACCCTAAACCATCTAAACCCGAAACACGCAGTTCTAATCCATACACACTCACTTCCACACTCTAGACTCAGACCTTCCTCGCTCATCCTCAGTCAAAAAATAAACCCTGAACGCAAAATCAGAATTTTCAAGTCCTAAGCCCAGCACTTCTGGGATTACTGGTCTAAAACCTATGTAAACCATAAGCTTTATCTATGGTCTTTCGGCCCCGAAGAACTGAAAATATGATTCCTTAGAGCCTTCGGGTTCTGGGTACCCTTATACTGATTCTTATAGGAACCCTTGTAGTATTCTTTTAGGAACCTATATAAGCCCTAAGCCTTATCAGTGCTCCTGTATAATCTTGTAGCTCCCTCTGGGCCTTCGCCGAGCCGTCGTCGCTTGCACTGGCGATGACAGAGCCTTCGGGCAGCATTGGGTCTCCCTTGCCGGCCAGCTTAGGAGTTTAGGGGTTTAGGGTTGAGGGGTTGAGGGTTTAGGGTTTAGGGGTTTAGGGGTTTAGGGTTTCGGGGTTAAGAGTTTAGGGGTTTAGAGGTTTAGGGTTTAGGGGTTTAGGGTTTATGGGTTTAGGGACTTGCCTGTAGTCTCCATTGTACCAGGACCCCCAAATGGCCCCTTATGACCCCTTTTGGTCCTTAATAGTGGGTATGTGGAGTATATTAGAGGGCAGTTAGGGGGTCTAGGTAGTTCAAGGCAGTTCCTGTTTTTGTTCACCAGTTTTTATGGTTGGGAACGTACAACTTTAATCTGGCTAGCCAAACAAACGAACTGCAGTGGAGCCTGTTTGGTAGGTTCTCATTATGAACCTACAAAAAACACACTTTCCGGTGGGTTTGGGCATATTATGGGCTCTAACATAGATGCGTCGAGTCCTTAATCATTGAATCAGAACTTTAAGATTTGGGGTATATGTAACAACGGTTTAGGCAAACGTAAGCCATACAAGGAGGTACTGTTGAACATTATTGACGATATCTACGGGACTCTACATAGATATGATGCTAGTTGCTGATTATGCAGAGAACTGTAGGGCTTGGGCGTGACGACCCAGATCCAGAATCTTACCTACAAAGAGAACTAAGTTTGGAGCAGCACTTACTAGCAAAGCAAAGCTTGGATACGTCGAAACAATGGTGAACCACATCGTTCATTTGTCTTGAAAAAAACATGCTAACCCCGAACCCCGAAACCCTGAACACCAGGAATGAGTTTGATATGGGGCTCTCCAGCTTTTCCGGTACGGCAGTATGGCGGCTTTGCGCAAGGCATAGTTTGGGTGCCTTCATGATTGGAAGAGGGCTTTTCGGGTTTAGTATGCAACTCTAGGGGACATTGAAGGTACAGCATTCGCAGTTCGTTCTCGTGCATGTCTGGGGGCGGGAATGAGGGTATAGTATGAGTAACTGGAATGGGTGCTTGGGGCTATACGTAGTATTATTCTGAGGGGGAACTTTTGGGTATAGTATATTTTGGTACCTTGTTCTATCCCTAAGCCCTACAAGACCCTAGGCCCTGAACAGGGCCCGCAGTAAACTCTTGGCGGGATGTCTGGGATGTAGGCTGGAGCCGCAGAAGCAAAGCGCGGTGACGTAGTCCTGGACACTTCCCGAAAAAACATCAGAGAGGCTTGCTATCAACCCTAAACTAAACGCCTTTGGCCCTGAATCCAAACCTTAAAGCTGCAACAATATATATATATATATATATATATATATATATATATATATGTATATATATATATATACACATACATACATACATACATACATACATACATACATATTTTTGTACACCGAAAGCCGCTAAAAGCAGCCGTTGCAGGAACCCTGAAAGGATCCTTTTGATACCCTGGCAGCTCTCTGGCCCCGAACCGGAAGTCAACCCAAGGGAATAGGGTATACTACAGGGGCCTTCATAATTAGACTAGAACAGGCCTTGGGGGTATATTATACTGTATAGTTATAATAAGCAACCCCCAAAATAGTATTGGTAATTATTTGGGCTCCTATAGTAGAGATGTTTCCTTGTCATAATCAAACTGATGTCGGACAATGGTGTCAGGGTAAGTTGCGACACCTTGGCGGAACTGCTTCAGGAGTTGTTTACTAGGACCTCGCACAAACCATAATCCAAAAAGCGAGTCCTTGGACTGACTCGTTTTGCTTTCGAAATTGAGCATTTTGACGTTGGGTTTACGGCTCAGTAAGCCCAGAACGACGTAAGCAACATCACAAGGTCTGAATAGGGGTTTTCGGTTTAGGGTTTTAGAGACACTGTTTGGCGCTTTTCGATTTTTCTTTCGATTGTTTGGGGGTACCCAGGCACTCCCAAACTCCGTAGTAATGCACGTTCGAGACTCCCTCTATACTTCAAGGTTTATTCCTTCATGAAACAACGTATAAGCACCATTATAAAATCCCTCACAATAAACTGTAAAACCGGCTTTATTGACACCTTATCAAACCGTGAAGTTAAAGCCCTACAAGTCCACGTCAAGGTATGCTCCTTAATCACAAGGTTGTTGTGAGTCTGTGGGCCCCTGATTTGTTTTCCTATGCAAGATTCGAGTGTCCTCGTGGCCTTCCAAGCGACGTTGCTCATCGAATGTCTGCGCAGGGTGGATGGTGCTCCGGTTTAGGGGTTTAGGGTTAGGGACTTAGGGTTCAGCGTGTTCCTAAACCCAAATAACCTACTTTTTCACGTATAAGGAAACCATAATAAGAAACCGTAAGACATGTAGGTTTCTAAGTGCCCAGGTTGGGTTTAGGGTTTGGGGTACAAGGTTTGGGTTCAGGGTTTGGGTGTCGAGTATCGGGTCTAGACTCGGGTGTTGGTGTTGGGGTGCATGTGGGATTGATGTCTTCGGGTGTCAGAGCATACGACTGCCGTATATAGTCGTATTACAACAAGCTGTCACCGATACTGCAGAAGGTACCGTCGATACGAAGGTGCTTGTTTCTTGCAACTGTTGACGACCATGGTTTGCTTGCCACTGCTGTTTACCTGTTCCGGCACCAGGCGATGATGGACGTTGTAGAAACCTGCAGGTAACTAGGTTGGCACGACTACTTCCAGGGCTGAAGCCTGAAAAAAAGCCAGAATGAAGGTTCGAGCCTGACACAAACCGAGCCACACAATGTATAACATAGAAAACTCTACAGGTCACTGTCCGTCTGTCCGTCTGCCTATCTTTCCATTTCTATGTCTTTCTACATACCTACCTACCTATCTAGCTGTCTGGCTAGCTTTGTAATTCTGGCTAAGTGAAGGCATCACGTATACAGCTAAGTAACAGTACAAAGATATATTGGTAAGTAGGTAGGTAGGGTACGTAGGTAGCTAGGTAGATAGATAGCCAGATAAACAGATAGGTAGATAGGTAGAACGACAGACAGAAACAACGATCGATCAATGACAGGTTACTTTAAAAAAACACTTAACGCTGCAATTATTACAAATATTGTTGTCATTATGTACATAGACATGTATGTGTATATATATATATAATATGTGTATGTATGTGTATACATGCAGCTTCGCATGGAGGCACCTCCCAGTCCCACAGGCGGACAGTGCCGTCATCGGAGGCGCTGGCGACGGTCTCACCATCCTCGCAGACAGCCGAAGGGGTTTAGGCTTTACCTTAACCCTGAATAACCTACCTTTTTGAGGTTCCTTATTATGATTTCCCTATATAAGTCCTCAAAATGGTAGGCTATTCGGGGTTCAGGTAGGGTTTAGGGTCAACCGAAGGGGTCATAGGAACGAAGTGTGTTGAGTGAAGTGTTTAGAGTGCTTCGGGATCTAGGTATGTCTTCGGCGTAGGATTTCAGGTTCATTGCTTTCGGCTCATGAATGAAGGACCATAGGTGGTTTCAAGGGCTAGTGTCAGGGGCCGTGACATGAATGTCCACAGGAGGCTGTGCGGTTTCAAGACTTCGGGGACCAATACCCTTTTCCGGCCGAGGGTCGCCTCGTGCCAGGTGGCTGCTGTTGGTTTCAGTTAGGGTTCAGAGCTTCCGTACACAGCTGTGTCAACATTCAATCCTCAACTCCACACCCTAAAGCCTAAAAACGGACATGCAACCCACACAAATCCAAACTCAGCAGTCCCCGAAACTCATCAAAACCAACTACATAGACACGCAGTCCCTTAACATTGCTGGCGAGTGAATACGTAGGCCCACATACTAACCCCGATAGGTTCCTTCCAACAGGGCTCTCCTTCAGAGAGTTCTCAGCGCCCTACTCACATCAAAAAGGAGCAATCTACAACCTGAGCCACTCTCTCACCGAATAGTGATACATTGCATAATATATGGGTTCTACCATGACTCCCCAACGTTTGAGAAGAGGGTCTATGAACTGTTCCCTTTAAGCCGCACCCTGATTTAGGATTGATTATCATGTGGAGGTCTAGATTTGGCAGTAACAAGAACGTGCGAAACAAAAAAAGCGCGGCGTTTGTCAATCAAGGGCGCCCCCGTCCAGACCCTTTTTGACACCCTAAAGACCCAAATAAACCCTTAACAATGCGCCATCCGTCCCTGATTCCCAAACGCTTAATCAACAGATAAATCCTTATCCTTAACCCTAGGGCTCCAATTACTTAAACAGTAGGTTACTGGGGTACATACTATTTAAGTAACTGGAGCCCTAGGGTAAGATGCCCGATGATCTCTATATAATTCATCCTGAAGAGTAGTCCGAGTAGTCCCGAAAACCTGCTAAATCAACGCTAAATCCTTGACCCTACACCCCGAAACCTCATCAGACCCTTCATACCCCTCCGATAAGACCCTAGACCTACTTGTCGGGTATCATGGTGAACTACAGGTTGACCCTTTTGGTTACATAGGGATTATATAGGTACTATACAACCCAAAAAAGGTTAAAGGTTGCCTACTCTACTTCTACAGTAGAAGCCAGAAAGTTGGAATATCATTATCGTAACCCCTTTAAGGTGAATTATAGGGGATCCTACCAATAATCCATATTCATCCATATTCCAACTTTCTGGAGTTCCCTTTAGGCTAAACCCTAGATCGACAAGCCCTTGTAACGATTTAGCAAAATCCCAACTTGGAGGGACATGGATTTAGTAAGGAAGGCAAAAAGTACGCACCTTAATTGGGCTTAGAATCAGAAGTATATAGCTACCGTATTTATAATCCTACCTGCTACGTCCCCCGATCCTTCAACAACCCTGATGGTTCCCTTTAAAGGATACCTGATAGATCCTTTATGGTCCCTTATCTAGGCCCCGGTCCGGTGAAAGATCGACAGCTCTCACGCGATCTTCGTGCCCACGCCTAGACCGTCGAATCCAAAGTGTCCATAAGGCCACAAAGGTTCTTTTAGAGGGTCCAGAAGGGTTCTAGAAGGAATCTATTCGGGTTTAGGGTTCGAGGGTGTACTTAAACTACAGGATTATGGGACGTATAAGTCATGTAACTATATATACTCATACTTGCTTACAACCCCGATTAAGGTACTTATAGTCTTACTTGCTCAGTCCCATAATCCTCCAGTTAGGTGCTGTTAAACACTGTTCTGGGGAAATCAGGTTCTCGGCTCCTCATATAGAAACCTTACATTCCACGAAAAAGGTCCTTACAGCCCTTTGGGGAAGATTTGGTGTTCAGGGCTTCAGACCTCTGTAATCATAACTACATTTGCTGCTGTTGTCTTACTTGGCACTGTGATCACGACAAGCTAGTTATAATTTTTCCCACGTGTGCGACAACTCCAACTAGACGATTATTGTTGTTTTTGTGGTTGTCGCCAGGGTATCATGATAGTATTCACTGCTGTTCCATCGTAGTTGTGACGTTTGCCGTGCTTTATCTTGCTTGTCGTATTGGCTCGTGTGCATCCTATAGACAGTTGACAAATGCCGGGTCTTGAACGGCGCATTGAGAGCAGACTGTCCCACATGCCCTTATTAAAGTGCCACGCCTGCAACACCAGGTCCATGGATTTTACCCGACGGGTGCTACACACATCCCCTGCCAGAGGCCTCAGCCGCCACAAGAAACATACACTCGCCAGCCCCCACCCCTCGACAAAACGAAATTGAGTCGCAAATCCTGAACACTAAACAGACATATGGGTGGTAGTCAAAAATCCCTTTAGGGTACCCTAAATATTAGGTGCCATATTATAATAAGGATCCAAAAGGGGACCCTGATACTGACAACCACCTATGTGTAAATAGACGAAGCCCTAAAGCAATGCCTTAGCTGAAACCCCAGACCCTAAAGCCTAATATGCACTAAGCAGACCTATGGGTGGTTGTCATTATTAGGGTCTCTTTCGGGTCCTTATTATAATACGGCACCTAATATCTAGGGTACCCGAAAAAGGGGCCATCATTTTGACAACTACCCATACGTAAATATACGAAGCCCCAACCCTAAGGGTCCATGTACCCAAAAAGTATCAACCTTGGCCTTAATGTAGTCCCTATACAGGTACATTGGGCCCAAAGTATATACTATTTGGATACATGGACCCTTACCCAGAGGGTCCAAGTACTCCCTATTCTAGGACTTTAGGGCAGTTTTAGGTACCGAAAACCGTAGATAGGAACTACTTGGACCCTTAGGGTTAGGGCAAACCAATGTCGGAAGCTGAGCTGCCGACAGCACTCCCACGAGATCGAAGGTCCTGAGGTCCCACAGCCTGAGGCGAAGCCAGTCTTCCCACGGCTTCGAACTAATTAGGGTTTAGGGTTTAGGGTTAGGGTTTAGGGTTTAGGGGTTTAGGGTTTAGGGGTTTAGGGTTTAGGGTTTGGGGTTTGGGTTTAGGGAAGTTTAGGGTTTCGGGTCTCATCTTTTGACCCAAGAGTAAGATAAGAATAAAAAGGGTGCCCTTGCTTTAAAGGGGCTTGTAAGGGAACCTGAACCACCGAAAAAAGCCGGAAGAAGGGCCTGCTATCCTGGATCTTCATGTAGCAGCCTGAATAGTTGGGAGGTTGCGGCCCAATGGGTTTAGGGTTTAGGGTTTAGGGTTTAGGGGTTTAGGGTTTAGGGTTTAGGGTGCGTCGGTTTTGGCCCTAAGCCTACAAGCTGTAGGCCCTGAGCCCTGACGAGTCAGCCCGAAACTTCAACATCTTCAAACTGTACACCCAATGCTGAACTGCTAAACACCCCTACAACCTTAACATGTTGATTTGTTTTGGGCACCGTCCTGGAATGCCCAGGTTCGGCTTGGATTGCTCGAGAGCATCGCGGCCATCGACTCCACCTTGCTCGTTCTGGTAGCCGGCAGCATCCGCAGAGACTTTTCCAGCATGAGCGATGGAAAAAGACTCATCGGCCGACATGTGGTTTGTGCGTGCATTCAGAAGTGGGTTTTTTGATTGTGTAATGGAAGGGATTGGGAATTGGTACTTCGGAATGGGCGCAGGCCCAAGGACTAGGGACCCGTGTTGGCTCATGGGGGCAAATGGGGACACCCATTATGCCCCGTTGGCCCCGCATTGCGCCGCAACACGTCCACTCGGCAAAGTGCAACCCACAGGGGTCCCTCCACAGGGGCCCCCCATTAACCCCGCGAAACTTCACAACCTCAAAACCCTTAACCTACACACGCAAGTTTAACAGTCTCAAGCCCATACATCATCTAAATGCTGACTAAAGCATGAGAGATTGAATGTTCTAAAGTCGAGGAAGCGCCTGTTTCCCGACGCCTCCGGAAAGCCACAAGACTGCTACCTAAACCCTACACCCCAAACCCTAAAACCTAAACCATAAACCCTAAACCATAAACCCTAAACCATAAACCCTAAAACCTAAACCCTAAACCCTAAACCCTATAATCCTCAAACCTGAAAACCTGTGCCCTGACCCATGTGACCCATGTAAATCATAACCATCAAGGCTTTGGGTTTTCTGGGTTTAGGGCTTAGGGCTTAGGATAGCCCTATAGGGTAATCCCGAAAAGGAACTACTATGCGGCCTTAGGGTAGGGTTCAGAGCCTCGAGGCTTTTAGGATTTAGGGCTGAGGACGCCTAAGTTTAGGGTTTAAGGAGTTTAGGGTCTAAGAAACTCAGGGTTTACAAAAAAATAAGAGTTTAGGGTTTAGGGTCGTCTCAAATTTCAATTGCCAATCCGCACCTCACCGTCTGATCCCAACTGCCGCTCACCACCTTGGTCGACGATGCAGCTAAGAGCTCAAACCCCTGAACCCTTACGGCAGCGTTTCAGAACGTAAGGGACTTGAATATAGGCGCCGATTAGTAGGATCGGTCTGTGAAGGACCCTTTATAACACATGGTCATTCAAGCCTTTTGCAAGACCGAATAGCGAGGCAACTGGGACCCGGAAGACACATTGTAAAATGTAACCGGAAGTTTGAGGTCAAAGAGTTGGATAAAAAAACCCTAAAGCACTCATGCCCATATCACCGGATCAAGTAATCCCCATGCAGATCCAGCTGCACGCTGTTGTCGGAGGTTTGCTCCAAGCCCTTGGAGCCTTGGAGGTTTGCTCCAAGCCCTCTGATCTCCGGCCTTTGCTCTGCATTGCAGCTGCCGGCGTCTGACCTTTCTCCAATGGTAGTCGCCGTCTCTCTTGATGAGATCGAAGCGTTTCTTTTCTGAGCTTCGGACAGCTTCCTTGACATCTGCAACTGTCGCTCCGGCCTCTCTTAGGCGATCTTGCCGAAGAACGTCCTGAAGCCGAGCGTATCCGTCCTTTCCGTGAGGTCGGCGAGGGTCCGCCCCTTCTCAGCCGATGCTGAAGCGAGGGAGCCGCGCCCTGCTGGTAGTTGTCGTTGGCGAACAAGGTTCGAACTGTAGCCCAGTGTCCTTTCTGGTGCTTGACAGCTTCTGCCAGTTTTTAAGGGTTCCTAAAAGAATACTACAAGGGTCTCGAAGAATACTACAAGGGTTCCTAGAACCGCCCTACGGCTCTAAGGACTCATAGCCAAGAAGATTTGGCTCTAACCATGCTAAGGCGGCTGCTCAGCGACAAGAAATGCACGCCAAGCTCCTACAACCCAAATGCCAAAGCCTTCTTGGGACGCAGCAATACAGAAGCCCAAGCCCCAAAATCCGTAACTCTAGACCCTCTAGTTCATAAGCCATACTAACAAAAACAAACCCTCATGTCCCCAAATCCTAAACTTTATTCCGACACTCAAAACCCTAAATCCTAAACGCTATTTCCTAAACCTGAAACCGGAACATCGACACCTGAAGGCCTGTCTCTGGCTCATTGAGAAGTTGGATGGTTGACAGCTTGTGTAATACAGTTTTTATGGGTTCCTGAAAGAATACTACAAGGGTTCCTGTAACCCTACGGCTCTAAGGACTCACATGTTGAGGCATTTGGGCCTAAAGACCATACTGTATGGGGCTTTGGGGCTCTTTTGAGCCGCAGGGCCATACAGGGTCCTTAGAAACAACAGTTGCAACAGCATAAATGAACATAGTACTCATAGCCACTATCATTATAGTAATGCTGGCAGTGGGGTTTGGGGGAGTACTGAAACAACAGTTGCGACGATAATGGACTATTGTTACCAATTCTTCAGGTCTCTACAGTTATGCAGACGCCTGAACAAATATACTGTTTCTTGGGGTTTTAGTGTGGTATAACATACCGCAAAACCCTCATGTAACAATCAAGGCCTGCCCAGCTTTTATGCATTGCTCATGCCATCATGCCCTGCAGCTCAGCGCGTGAACCATCTGAAACCCTAGACCCTACCATGATTTGCAAGAAAAACTCTGGAAGCCCCCAAGGCTCATGTTGGAAACAGAAACGAAAGACCCAACCGGATGCAAATATTCAGAGTCTCGGGCTTGTTTTTTTTTGGGGGGGGCTTGAGGTCTACCTGAACCCTAAAGAACCTACCTGTCCAAGATTCCTTACATTTACCTGTGTATATGCTTGCATTGGGTAGGGTATCTGGGGTCTGGGTAGAGCTCGTTGTCTTAGGGGCTGTCTACCCTAGCCCAAAAAATGCCCTAGCCCAAAAAAGGTTAACCTTCTCAATGTTGGTGGGATCATACGAACCTCCAAAGGTTAAAGGTTACCGACTCAGCTGCTAAGTTGTTGATCCCCTTCGACTCATGCTAGCCTTAGAAGACCAGGGCAAAACCTGAATCCTAAGCGAACCTACAGGAAAATTATCCGTAATTATTCAGGCCCCTAGAATACAGCCGCAAACCTTCAATTCTCAGCCTTAAATCCAAACCCAAACCGTCAACCCTAAGACCCTACCAAAGCGAGGAAACCCCAAAATCAAACAGCCTGAACCGCCTGAGGTGAAGGACGCGCGAGGACTCCCCAGCTGCAAGAGAGCTGACCTTTGGGATTTTCTCGGACACCCCAAAGCACAATAGGCATTCAAGATATGACAGCTATGGTATGGGATTCAGAGTTTAGGGTTCGGGGGGTGCTCAAGCTCTGGCGGAGGATAGTGTAGGATTTAGAGATTAGGGTTCAGGGGATGTTCAAGCTATTCCTGATCCTTACGTGGTCGAGGTACGGTTTAGGGTTTAGGCGGGTGCAGAAAGTAGATGTGTAGGTATGCTTCTCCTGGAAGGTCCTTCCACAACAGCAAGTGCTGCTGCTGCTGCTGCTGCTGCTGCTGCTGCTGCTGCTGCTGCTGCTGCTGCTGCTGCCTACCGACCTACCTGCCGCCACTACACATCATGTACACCACTATGTATTTACTGCTACTACTACTACTACTACTACTACTACCACTACTACTACTACTACTACTAATAATAATAATAATCATAATAATAATAATAATAATAACAATAATTTTTAGTAATAGTAATAGTAATAATAACAATAATAATAATAATAATATTACTCATCATCAATACAACTACCACTACCACTACCACTACCACTACCATGAACACGACCACTACTACTACCAGTACCAGTACCAGTACCAGTACCAGTACCAGTACCAGTACCAGTACCAGTACCAGTACCAGTACCAGTACCAGTACCAGTACCAGTACCAGTACCAGTACCACTACTGCTACTGCTACTGCTACTGCTACTGCTACGACGACTACAACAACTGCTGCTACTACTACTGCTGCTACTACTACTACTACTACTACTACTCCTGCTACTACTACTACTACTACAACTACTACTACTACTACTACTACTACTACCACTACTACTAACACTACAAACAGCTACTACTGCTACCGCTGCTGCTGGCTATTCCTCCGCCTCAGCTACTAGCTACTAGCTACCGGCTCCCGCAACCGGCACTGCTGCTGCTACCCCTAAACCCTAAACCCCTGAGTATGCAGGGGTTTCCGAATGTAGGGGATTCAATGTAGTACCCTAAATAGTAGGATCCTTATTATAAGAACCCCCAAATGAGGTACCCCTCATTTTCGGAAACTCCCATGCAGGGCTTGTCGAACAATGAGTGCGCTGGGACCTCGGACGCAGCTCGCGTGGCCACGGAGCTCCGAGCGCTGCAATGGAGAAGAGAAGCCCCAGACCTGAAAGGGATCCAAGGGTGGGTTCAGGGTTTTAGGGTTCCTGCAAAGGGATCCATAAGGGTTCTATAAGGGATCTATAGGGCTTGTAGGGCTTAGAGTTTGGGGTTTAGGGTTTGAGGGTTTAGGGTTTTAGGGGATTGGCGGTTTAGGGTTTAGGGCTTTAGGGTTTTAAGGCTTACGGTTTCGTAGAAAGAAGATAGCTAGCTTATCTTGTACGATCTTCTGGTCAACTTTAGCAAGGAAAATAGCAGCCAGCGTTCAGAAGGAGGTTCCAAGTGCTCTCAACATGTCCAGAAACCTGAGCGTAAGTTTATCTTTTGGCTTGCCGTTTCTCCCTCTTTCTCTGGTTCTCTCCCTTCTCGCTCTCTCCGTCTCTGTCTCTCCTTCTCTCTTTCTCCCTCCCGGTATTCGTTCGCCCGGTCACTTCAGCTGCCTTGGTCACTGTGGCCACCTTCGCCAAGATTACGGTTCCAGTGCCCACTCAAGCGCTCAGGATTTATGACGAAGGCTTCTGGCTTTCGGGTCCGATTTCCAGGCCAACTTACTTAAATGAGGAGAGAGCAAGCACATCTGAGCTCTAAACTCTCAGTAACGAAGCTGAATGAACAACTAATTATAACTCAAACCCCAAACCGTTAAACCCTTAAACCCCACACCTAACCTCTCAACCCCTCCCCAACCCCCCGCCTGTGAACCCTCGGAGGCTCAAGGCCAGACTCTCTAAATCTTCCAAGGTTTAGGGTTTAGGGTTAAGGGGTTTAGGGTTTAGGGTTCAAGGGTTTAGGGCTTAAGGATTTAAGGGTTTAGGGTTTGGGGTCTTCATCATTAG